GTTATCAGCATATAGGTGATAAGTGAAGCCATGGGAGTGCATAAAATAACAAGAACTAGACTGCAGTGTAGGAAAATTGCTTTTGATAACAATGGGAGGAACAACAATCCTTTAGGTGTATACGTAAAACGAGGAGCCATCCACAGAGACTGTAGCAGAACAGTCAGAGAGGACAAAGGAAAACCAAAGACAATTGGATGTCTTGGTCACTGAGGGAGAAGAGCATCACCTCATTCTGTTTTCACACTTACCAGAGACTAAAAGAAACAACCTAAGAAGTTCTGGGCCTAGGCAAAGACTAGGCAGCACAGACTGAGTACAGGGGAGTGAAAAATTTGATGGGCTGAACTATGAGATGCTCCATCTCACCTCCCCTGATCTATTCCCAGAATGCAGGTAGCCTGCCCAGCAAGGTTATTGAAGGATTTTTCTCTGTAGAAACTACTGGGAGGTATACTTAAAAAAAAAAGGTAGACAGACAGAGGGATGATGAGGATAGATAGACAGATGGATAGATAGATACAGTTAAGCAAAAGAAGTAGAAGATAAGAAAATCCAGGAAACAGAGGATTTAGCACAAGCAAAAGGACAGCCAGACACCTGCGCAGCAGGCCGAGAGGACAAGTGGTCCAGGCCTCCGGGGAAAATATGAAACGGATGTGTTTCAGGGTTTGGTAGGTGTTTGGCAGATCCATTTGAAGCATTTGGGAAAAAATAAAAAATAAGGATAGATACCTAGAAAACAAAGCAGATGAAAAATTAAAGCAATTATTTATTTGAAGTGGAAAAATGATAAGGAAAAATAATCATAGTATAATACTTAACTCTGCAGGAAACAATATTTAAATTTACACTGTAAACATATTAATATATAAACCTACACATGCTGCTGGTTTATAAAAAAAAGTCTGATATAATCATAGTGGGAGGTTGGGAAAAGCAGAGCGTGGGACATGGGGGCGGACTAAATCCTCAGCCGTCCAGGTAATAATGATAAGACAAAAATAATATCTAAACTGACAAATAAAAAATCAGAATACAAGTATATTATTCATAAATATGGAGATAAATACCAGATGAAACAGCTAAGAGTTAGAAATGATTTTCTCCAGGGAGCAAAACTGAGGGAAAAGGAACAGCTGTTTTCATTGTCTTTTAGCACTGGCTGATATTTTAAGTATGTGTACAAATTACTTAAACAAGAATAAAAAGTATATAAAGAATAAATGGTCCCTGGCTGGTGTGGCTCAGTGGATTGAGTGCCAGCCTGTGAACCAAAGGGTTGTCAGTTTGATTCCCAGTCAGGGCACATGCCTGGGTTGCTGGCCAGGTCACAAGCAGGGGGCGCGTGAGAGGCAACCGCATATTGATGTTTTCCTCTTTCTCCCTCCCTTCTCCTCTTTCTAAAAAATAAATAAGTAAATGTGTTTTTTTTTTTAACTCAAAAAAAAAAAAAAAGAATAAAGGGGAAGTATGGAAGTGGAGGCATAAAAGTTAGAGTGTTCTGTAAATGACTTAAGTTGGCAGGAGAGAGACAGGGCAGTAGCTAGAGAGGAGGAAACACAGCTGAAGAAAGAATTGTTCAAAAATAGAACAGGCCAGAGCACATTTATATGCTGTGTGGAGGTAACAAGTGAAAAGGAGAAGTTGAAAGAGCACAGATTGAGGAGATAAGGAATGAGGAGACCTTGGGGCAGGAGATAAGAGGTAAACACTAACCTTCATCTGGGTTAGGAAAACTTGGGAATCCTATGTTCTTGCTTACTGGGAAACTCTCTCTGCATTCTTGTCGTTACCTCTTCCTTTCTCTCTCTGCCCTGTTCTCCCACATAAATGTGCTCTTCCTATCTAGTGTCCCCAGGACTTTCCAATCAGGTAAGCCTTACCCTTTCCCCAGTGTTCTGAAACTTCAAGGGAATGAGAAATTTAAATCTCTGTTACACTTTACATTCTTGAAGATGGTTTCATTTCCCTGAAATTATGCTCTTCCCACTCAACACATCAAAGCTATTCCTTCACTCTCTTCTTGAAAATATTCAAGTAAGAGATCTGGTAACACCATACCCTTATTGAAGATGACAAAAATCTCTAGAGAGACCAGTGGTTATCCATTAACTTGTCCTCACTGAAAATCTCATAAAAATGCCAGTAACAACTGAATGACACTTCCAAAATCACACATGCTAAATGGCCACCATCTGAGTGTTCTAAAATGGTCAGCACATAAAGATTATTTCAGGAGGGGGAAGATCAGGGCCTCCTGCGTAGCTGTGCAGATGGTACCCTGCATGTCATTTTTGTGGGGGGTGGGGGCACCATCTCATTGAAATCTGTGGAAGTGGTACCCCATCCCCTCCCCTCTGCTCCCCAGGGTGGGACCTGAGCAGCAGCGATTCACAGCCGTCCTGGTCAGACCCTTTTCATTTTACCACACAACGCTATGTTCCAGGACAAGGAAAAGACTAACCTTTTAATCTCATTCATTCTTATGAAAGCACATTAAACTGCATCTTAAAAACATTATACTCACAAATGGAAGCTGGAGTTGGAGTGCATTTAATCCTCCACCTCCTATCCCCAGTGGATTTCATTTCTAATATGTGGTTTAGAACAAAGCTATCCAATAAATGTAGAGTTGGTTCTAAAATTACAAAGAAAAGCTGCCATGGCGGTTGCTCTTTATCATTTCTGAAAAGTGAATATGTGTTGTTCTGCCAAGTTTTCTTAGTAGTTGTACTTTGTAGGTGGCTCAGTTCCAGGGTCCAGATGTATAAACATACTGTACGTGCACTGTCAAGCCGTTCGGAGCACTCTCCCTGCAGATGGTATGGACTTCCAGGCAGAAATGACGTAAGCATGGTGTGAGCAGGTAAAAGCAAAAATAGCAACAGTGACAATAAGAATACAATAAAAGTCACTGAAGAATGGCAGGTAAGTTCAAAAGGAATGCAGTGTTTCATACTTTTGGCACCTTCATTTGCTTAAGTACAGTATATTATGGTACAGTAACCCCAAATACCCTAAATGCCAGAGAATGCCCTTGTTTTTGAAAAGGACTGTGTCCACTTTCCAAAGTGGCGGTGGCCGGGTCGGGGGCGGGGGGTGGATTCCCTTTAAAAAAACAAGTATTTGAAATGGAGAGATTTCTTGTTTAAACTTGCTTACAGTCATATTTTATAAAATCTTCATTCTTAGCCTCTCCTATCTTGAAACCCCACTATTAGGGCACGTCTATCATGGTTGCTCAATATTTTTAAAGACATATGCTAAGAACTGATGAGCGATAGACAGCAGCGATCTGATTAAAGTGAATGTAAACACTGTGAGGCATCTAGTACCATCATATATAATTTAAGTCTAAGTTCTGCAAGGCGTAAAAAATCAGTATGGAAAGAACTTAGAGAAGGGTCTATTTATCAGGAAGCATGATTAATCATGGGCTAAAAACTAATCATATAGATATTTAATTTTCTTTTTCCCAAATATCAAGAGCAGGGAATATCCAGATAATTTTGGATCCCTCACAATTCAAAAGTGGAAAAATAACCTGTAACTTTGCAGTTATCGTATTTTTGTAAAGTTCACCCCATTGACTCAGAAATCTTGACAAAGGTGCTCCTACATAAGACCTCATATGCTATGCTACAGGTTATTAGCCTTGAGCTCATTTGTGGTTATTTGGCTGTGAAGCAGTGTTCTCTTTAACATGGTTAGTCTCCTCATAAAAACACTTGGCATTTTGCACTCACACACTGTTTCATGCTCATTAAAACATGCTCAAAATTAATGAAAATGATAGAAACACAAGTAAAACTGACAGGAATAATGATACACTTCTCTATGGCACACGCACGCGCGCGCACACACACACACACACAGTCATGAGCTGGTTTTTTACTTGCTAGTGAAGTTCACAGTTAACTAAGGAAAATATTTCGATTCAATTAAGCTATGCATGATGTCATTTTTTTTCTTGGCATTAACGTATCAGAATTTACTTTCTGCTATTTCCTATCCATTACAACCTCTGTTGAGCAATATGGGGCCATTTGGCAGCTCTATTCAAACTGCCCCGTGATCTAAATCAATTGCACACTTGAATAGAGCATGAGTCTGACATTAGCGGTTCTAAAATTGTCTATGAAATTCTGGGAATGTTTTGGAGATGGCCAAAACCTCTACAATACACAAAGAAACGCACAAATAAGTAAAACTCTGCTTTAGGATTCCATATTTCATTTCCATTTTATTTCACATTCAAATTATTTCCTGAAATCATTTCAGAGGCTTTTGTTTTTGCAAGACTTTGGAGGTCCAGGCCCTGTGATAACTAGATGTTTCTTCCAGCACATGGAGCAAATTTGGGATTTGATAGAGGTAAATGACAATTGTTAAAGTACTTCCTATTTCATAATAGAATTTTTGAAAAATCAATTATTGTGGAACAAGGTTTATTACATTTAATTTACAATTAGGAAATATGGGAGCTGGCTTTGGAGAGGATGTTATCCAGCTCCCCATAGCTCAGTGACAAAGAAACCGAGGTTCAGGTGGGTTAATTGATGGGTCCATTTCCTAGAAGCAAAACGGGCACTGCCCGTCAGGCCCTGTCTCAGGCCCAGGTTCCTCGACCACACTCACGGCAAACAGTAGTTTTGCTGATTAGTTCTGTTCCCCAGCATCAAAACAATTTCACAAAATGGGAAGGACACAAGGCTATTAGTAGATTACTTTATAAACAAGATATTCAAAACTTAAATTAGTACATGTAAAGAGTTGGCAAGAACAGACGAAGGTTTGTTTTCACTGCAGCAGTAGCGTCCGCACGACATACCCCCTCAGCCACTGCCCTCAGCCCTTCCCCCCTCCAAGAGAGGTAGCGCTGCCGGCTGCAGATTTCTTCAGCTCTATTTTCATAGACTGAGTCTCAGCTCGAGGCTCGAATTTGGTCAGATTTCCTGCTCCTGGGGCTGCCACTACTGGCTTTCCTGCTTTCATACCTTTTGACATAGGAATGCGGGTGGGCGTAGGCCGCTGGGATGACCCGTCTTGTCCTGACTGTAAGAGAAAACACAGAAACACAAGGGAGATGGTGGTGAGTTTCCCCCTGGATATGCCGTCAGTTTGAACGTTAGCAGGCCTCTCGCCACAGACGACCCCTCCCTGGGTAAAATTATCATTAGAACCTTTAAGTCATTATCTAATCTATTCTGATTGCATCCCTTTCTCCTCTGCCAAACTTCCTTCCCTTCTCAAGCTCCTACCCTACTTCCTCTACCCTTACTGAAGAGGACCTTGCCTCCTATTTCACAGACGAAATACAGGCCACTTGGTGTTCACTCAGGCCGTTTTATTCCTGCTGTCCCCCCAGTTATCTCCACTTTCTTTAGGTAGCCAGTTCTCCTCAGGACCCAGACTTTTCTCATTTATTATTGTCACCGACAACCACACCCTCTTTTCTGAAGCACTCCTAAAGCTCTTACTGTAATTTCTTACTCGAGTCTCACCCATCACATCCTGTGGCTGCAACTGCTTTTTAATCTCTTGATGGTTAGGCTCCTTGTTCAAGCTTGCCTGCTTGCTAAATGTGGGCATCACCATATTCCATTCTCAGCCCTCCTTTAATTTTTTGCTTTCATGCTGAGAATCACCTCAGTTATCACCTGATGTGTTGACAAGTTTCAGACCTCAAGCCTTCAATGCTCTCCTTACATACAGATCCATGTTTCCAACTACTAGCTAAACATTTCCAGTGTTCCTGAGGAATCTCAAGTATAACATGCCCCAAACATTACTTACCTTCTCCCCCAAACAGTAGCCCCTCTCTGTTTCTCATCCTATCCACCCATCCATCCAAGCCAGAAACCTCGGAGCCACCCTCCGTACTCAATTTGTCATGAAATCTTTGATTCTGTCTTCAACATATCTCATTTTCACTACTGTACTTCAAGCCTACACCATCTCTGGCCTAAAGAATTGCAACAGTATCTCTGTTCTCAGCCTCTGTCCCCTCCAATTTATCTTTTAAACGGTTTTATAGACATATCTTTCTAAAACATAAATAATGTAATGTTTTTAAAATCATCCTTACGCTTTCAATACCCCTTATATACTCCATGAGAGTAAATGCCAATTTCATAAGACATGCACTCTTCATACCTGCCCCCAGTTTGCCTCTCCATTTTCTGCTCTTGCGTTTTGTCTCCACGCCCAAATGCTGCAGCATAGTGGGACTGCTCACCCTCCCCTAGACATGCCAGGCTCCTCCACATTGCCATACCTTTGCACACACTGTTCTCTCTAGATGCTCCTTCCCTCTTCCTTCTTGAAAATCTCTCCTCACCTGTGAAAACCTCCTTCTCTGGGAAGCCTTCTCTGGTGGTTCCTTTGTTGAAATTCCTATCATGAAACCACTAAGTAAGTTCCATTCGGGACTGTCTCACTAAGATGAGAACTTCTAAAGGTTCCCGTTTTAGTCAGCTCCTGATCCAGTGGCTAAAGTGTAGCTACTACTCAGTAAATTCAATACTTCAATGAATACATGCACAAATAAACTAGCCTCACTATTTGATTTCTGAGAAGGGTGTCCCAAACTTTTTGTTGTCCTTAATTTAATGGGATCAGATATACCTGAAGCAGGTGGGCAATTACTCAGGCCTGAGAAATCTTAGCTGTTTTTAAATCCTATTTGTGTATGGGGTTTAATCAGTAGTCATTAAGGTTGCTACAGAAGGTAAAGCTATCTTGATCTGACCCTTAAAATGGGAATAAAATGTTTCAGCAGAGTGATCTGCTCTTTATTACAACAATTGACACCCCCACTGTCTTTTTATAAAAAATTTAAGCTATGCTCTGCCTAAAAAGCAGTATTGAACCATTTGAGAAGAGTGAGAGGTTCTGAATGCTATTTGGCTCCTATAGAGCCAATAAGGAAAAGCTTTTCTGGCAAAGCTGTTACTAATTCACATTTTGAAGACTGGCTGTCTTGAGTAGTCTACATTTGTACATAAAGAATTGAAAGTAAATTATATTGAAGATATGGGAAAATAAGCCACAGTTTCTATATTTAAATAAATAAGCTTTCTTAAGAGTTTCCAATATATGCTGCAGAATTTGTTCAGAGTTTAGGAATCATAATTTCTAGTCTGTTTATTTAAATTAATATCTGAATAGCACATGATTCTCTATAATTTCATTCATTAATTTATCCCCAATAAATGAAGACAATCGCTGGAAGCAGTTTGAAAAATAGAATTTATTTTTAAGTTCTGGCTTTTGTACTTTGGACATGATTTTTTATTATCATTCATTTAACCTTCTAGCTGGTTATTAAAAATATATATCAAGCACCTGACTTCTACAAGCTACTGTTAATATAGTATTTAGAGCTATAACTCACTTTTTTTACTTTTAAAAAAGTTTTTAATATTTTAATATTAAAATCTTTTCATCTCATTTTTTGGAATAAAGTATGACTATGGTCATACATAATCACATATTGAATATTTTAGGTTATAGAAGTATAACCCAGGAACAGTTTTAATTTGTCTTGCATATTGACCATTTCCCCAGTCTCCATTTTTAAAATTATTTTAAACATAAAATCAAATTTTAAACATTATCACTACATGCTAACATTACAAAGAGGCCATCTTTACAATTATTTTGGGGGTCTCCAAAATTTACATGAAAAAAATCTTTCTGTCAAAATTAGCTCAATTTATTAAAATATTAGGCCACTTTTTATTTTCATTTCTTAATGTAGATAGTTGTCTAGGAAACATCTCCTAATGGGTTCAGGTGGAGCGAGAGGCAATTGCTTTCCTTTTATTTTGGGCGTTGGGTTATTCTCACTGTTCACTTCTTACTCCTCCCTCAGCCTGCACTTTGAACCTCTTCTACTCACCACTGACTGGGTTCCTCGAGTAGATGAGGTTGTGACTGGTGTTATGGTGATAGTGCTTGTCACTTTGTTTGCACCAGGTCGTGAGGAGAGATGGTTCCTGGGAGAGCGAAGGACAGTGCCAGTGGAAACCTCCTTTTCAGCTGTCACGTTGACAGGTCGGACGGTAATAACCGGACTTGCTCCTTCTGCTGAAGTCCCAGGGGATCGCTTAAACTGAGAACCTAAATGAATGTGAATTTTATTGTCTTCTGTGGTTATGATATTGGCATTGGAGTTGTATTTCCGTACAGGAGTTGGAACAGTCTGTTTTTCTGGGGTGACTTTGAGGACAGTCCTTCCCATGGGCATTTCCTGGGAGTCAGGAGGGACTGCGATCTCAGCGGGGGCAGCTGATGTAGACACTGTCATTATCTGAATGGGGGATGTGGGCCTGTCCGCAAATGCACCTCTTCCGCTGTCTGGGGTTTTCTCTCTGGAATATGTGGTAATTGTGACTGGGGACATGGCTCGTTCTGTGCCAAGGGTACTATCTCCACTTTTCTGTTTTTGGGACATAATATTTGGTGATGGAATAATGGTTATCCTTGGTTTCTGATTCCCTAATGTAGGAATGACAGTGGTACTAGAGAAAAATTCTTCAGATGTCGGGCTTGTTATCTCCAAAGTTGCAGTGCTGTTCTCATGATCTGGTGTCACTCGAATATGCAGGGGCTGGCCCTGTTTTGGTGAAAGAACCAGCTCTCCTGGGTGCCCTGGACTGGAACTTGTTCGCGGCCCTTTCTCTTGAATGATTGAGGGCCCATTTTCCCTTTTTCTCATCCATGGAATCCACGACTTTCGCATAGTGAGCTCATTGGCTGCTGGAGGGTACCTGTCTAGGACAGAGGATCGTTCCATGGGTTTTTTCAATCCCACCTGTCGAAGATTACTCATGATATGATTTTCTTCTTGGAAGGATTTCCGTATAAATACTGCTGGTGTTTCCTCCTCTGTCGCGTCACTGCTGACAGCATCAGTCTGGACTCCAGTTGAGGTCACAGGAATATCTACCATTCTTCTCCCATTCATGCTGGGTCTCAGAGCTCGGCTGTAACGCTTAGAAAGCTCCAACTCTTTGGTCAGATTGAAGACCTCCTGTCCCATGTTTTTGTTCTTATTTTCTTCTTCCATAAATCTTTGTTGAAGGACAGAATAATCCACTTGGAGCTGAGAAAGCTGATCTTCTTTGTTCATTAATTCATGAATCTTCTCTTTAAGAGCTTGCACTTCGGCTTTTAAGTCTCGACTTTTAGCTTCTTCCAACCGAAATCTGTGTCTCAGCTCAGCTTCCTGGCTCACGGCCTCACCTTTCTCTATTGCTTTATTCTTGGCAATTTGGTGCTTAATCTCCTCCAGTTGCTGAGAGAGGAAATTAGCCTTATCCTGCTCTGTTCTAAACTTCTGCTCCAGCTGATCATACTCATCTTCCGTCTTCATCAAATCCCCTTCGACCACCTCCAGTTGTTGGAGACGTTTCTTCAGTCTCTCAATTTCAAGTGTTAGTTCCTTAATCTTGTTATCTTCTGGGCAGGTGAGTTCAGGTCCTTTTCGAGACCTTCCTCTTGTTATTTCTCTTTCCACTTCCTCTATCCCATCAAGTCTCTTCTTTAATAAGTCAACACTGCAGCTTAATTCAGATGATTTTTCTTCTTCACTTTTCAGTTTGCCTATTAACTCGTCCCTCTCTTTTGTCAAATTATATACTTTTTCCTCCATTTCAGATTTCAGTTTTAAAAGCTTCTTACTTTCTTCGATTAGTTTCTCAGTTACATCCATAACCTTTCCTTGTTCCACCTTAAAATTTTTATTGAGTCCATCCACTTTTCTCTCTTCTTGCTTTATTTTTTCCATCATGTTTTTCCTTTCATCAACCAGCATCACAGTAAATGACTTCAACTTTGTAAGATCATCTTTTAGGCTTAATTCAGCCTTTTCCAATCTACTTTCAGAACATTCCAGCTCTTTAACTCGACGCTTGACCACCTCCAGTTCATTTAGCAGGTCTTTGGTTAAGTTCTTTTCTTTCTCCAGATTTAAGTGTAGCTGGGTGCATTCAGATTTACTCTTGCTAAATGCTTCTTCCAATTTCTCCAGTTCGGACATTCTCTTTTGTAACTTCTCAACTTCAAGTTTGAGCTCCCTACTATGATGTTCTTCCTCTTGCAACTTCTTCCTCAATTCCCTGCACTGGGATTCAGTTTTAGTGATCTCCTCATCTTTACCCTCCATTTCAAGCACACGCTTCCTGAGATTTTCCACTTCTGCCATGAGGCTGGAGTTGCCACATTCCCCTTTGGCAATTTTATCTCTTAATTCCTGAAGTTCTTCCTCTGCCTTTTGCAGATTTTTGTTGGTCTCTTCTAGCTCCTCGATTCTTTGAGTTAAGCCAACCAGTTTGAGTCTAAGTTGCCTGTTGTGAGACTCTTGATTAGCCAACTTAGCATTCATCTCTTCATGCTCTTGGGAAAACCTCGAAGCCTTGCTTTCAAAATCCACTTCTAACTTCAGCAATTTCTGCCTGTCCTCTTTGGATTTGGAAGTAATGGCTTTGAGTTTTTCTTCTTCTTCCCTCAGTTTCTGAGTAAGGTCTTGTACTTTCTGGCTTTGCAGGCCAAGTTGCTCAATATGCATTTGTCTTTCATCCACCAGCATGAGTGCAAAGGATTTCAGTTTCACAAGCTCATCTCTTAGTTTATTGAGCCTCTTAGCATTTTCCTTTTCTTTGCGGGCTTGGTAAGCCTTTTCTTGTTCAAGGAGCTTTTTCAATCTATAAAACAAAATACATTAAAATATTATATTTTATTATTATATATTATACTTTACATATTCTATTTATATGTATTATATTTACTATTGTAAATATCAGAAGATTAATCAGAAAATAGGGTTATCTTAGATATTAAATAAAAAGTAAGATGCTATTACAATGTCTCATCAATTGCTGCAATATCAAGGTTTAACAAATAACCATTAACAAAACTAACCAGAAGTCAGTATATTAGTTACCCTTAGAGAGGGGTAGTAACTAGAAGTGGGCATGAAGAGGTACCGGTTTCCCTTTCATGATTTATGTGTTGTTTACACAGGATTGTTCCACTTATAAAATTTCTGTAAGCCGACCACTTATGAGTTCCTTTCTGCATATGTATTATACTTCAATAACATGACCATTGAATAAAACTTAAGTTGTACAATACACAACTATGTATAGAGTGTTTTCTGTATTCTAGGCACTGGGAATTATTTTATCCTCATAGCAATCCTATGAGACATGTAGTGCTAGTATCATCCCATGAGGAAAACGAGACATGGCACCTGCCACAGGTCACACTGTCAGCAAGTGGCAGAACTGGGATTCAAACTCAGACAGCACGGTTCCAGAATTCTGGCTCCTTGCCTCTGTATCACATGACTTCAAGAAAGAAATGTGTAGACCCAGAAAAGAAGAACCTTCAGATGCTCTCATTTCATATGCTACTATCACCTGATAAGGACAAAGCAAGACGAGCTTTCTGATAGAATGCTGATCTACACAAACTGAGTTTAGTTAACGCCAGAACTGGCACAGGATTTTGCCTCAGTTTTCTGATTTAAATGATTTTTTAAAATAGAGAATAGGTTAGGTAGAAAATGTGAATTGCTATAATGCAAAAAATGTGGCAGCCACAGAAATGATTATGTTTCACATGTATGAAATGCATTTTCTCTGTTGTATTTGTTTGGCTTTTTTTCCCCTCTGTCCTCATTTTTTTTTTATTATTCAATTACAGTTTTCCCCATTTTTCTCCCATTATTCTCCCCTGTCCTACCCACTCTCCACCTTATGTTTGGCTTCAAAAACTAGAAATATAAAGGTGCCAGAGTACCTCTTTACCATCCTTATGTTAGTCAGTTAATGTGCATCAATCTTTAAGTTATTTTTAACTACCCATAAAAAAGTTAAAATAAAAGTCATATTTACCATGATTATAGGAACACATTTTAGTAATTTACGTTTACAAGAGAGGCAAATTATAAACAACCACTAACATGTATTTACTTAAGTACATTTTCCTTTTAATATATTTTGTACCTTTTTTATTCTGAGTGATTTATTTCATATTTATGACTAGGCTGTTAGCCAAAATACATAGAAGTTAATAGTCTCACATTGCATTGTGTAGGAAAAGACTGAACATACACATAGGAATTCTTTATAATTAAATCCAGTGTCAGATATAGAAATGGTTCTGATGATGTCATGAAGATTTTTTAAATGGAATTTATTTTTTATAAAACATATGCTTGTGTATAAGTATCTATTAAGTAAACGTATTATTTACAAAACACATTATGACTTTATTCCTAGAATAGGAGAAGAAGATGCTTTTAAATCCTATGGACTTGCGTGAGCAATACTGAAATGGCTTCACTAAACGTGGTTGTTACATGTACAAACGGGCATTTTGTTGATCATCTTCTTTTTTACTTGGAGTCAAAACAGCTGAAATAATATCTTGGAACTATAGAGTAGGAGAGACTTCAGGGGATGTTTTCAAATTTTAATCTGTAAGAATTTTTATATCATTATCCTTCCTGTCTTTAAGAGTAGAACCTGGGGCCCTGATGTTTCTGCCAAGGAAAAGTAGAAAGCTTTCTGATCGGTAGGAAATCCTTTGAGCTAGAACATAACCGTCATAGGAATTTGGCTTTCAGAAAACTGCATTTTTCAGGTCCTAGCTGTGATTATTTCTCTTTTTCTAACTCCATTAAGCTGTCTCTCCTTCCTTCTTCTACCACATCCTAAACCATTCCCCTCTCTTAGTTTATAGGGCCTAACAACAGTACATAACCCATTCTCTGCATTCTCCCCAAATCCAGTTTCCTTGTTGGTACAGGTGAGAGTTAGATCCAGGACCACAGTAAATTTGGATGGCTCAGTTGCGACAGCCTGCCAATAGTGTTCTTGTAAATAGATCTGTACCCAAATTTCTACAGGCAGGGCATTAAGGATGGGAAGGATGAAATGAACCGTGAAATGAAATGTTACCTTTGCAAGAGGTAACTTGGCTTGGGCTTTGTGACTGCTTACTCACTAGGAGGACGTGAAAGAGAGAGAAAAATTACTCCAATGCTTTGGGTCTGAATTATTGCAAATAATAAAATCTCTAACAGATATGAAAAAAAGATGAGAAAGTAGTATTAGTATTAGTAAAAAACTGAGGCAAAAGCAAAACAGTTAAGTAGAAAAGTATAGCAGGCAACAGTTAACAATACTCTTTTGTACACTGAGAATTTAGTTAAGAGGGTAGATCTCATGTTAATTGTTCTTACCATAATAAAATAAGAAAAACAGAAAAGTATACCAACCAGAAGTGTAGTGCTTTGAAGATAAATCCTATGAACGTTACAGTTCATATAGATCTTAACCTATTATCCTAATGTCTCCCAACTACATTACTCCAGGCCAAGCCCTAAGCCTCTTCTGCTGATAATTCTGCAACAGCTTCCTGAATGCTATCCTCACAATCTTGGCATTGCCATTTGTTGGCTGTATGATCTTGGACAAGTTATATAATACTTCTGTATACCTCAGTTTTCTCAGTGATAAATTGGGCACCCAAATACCATCTGATTCACAGGGTTTGTGTGAAGTGCATATCAGTTAATATACAAAAAGTACCTACAACAATGTCAGCCTAAAGTGAGTGTACTTTTAGCTTTATTATCATCTCTCACCCAAATGCAAATATGTCACTCCCTGGCTTTCCATGGCGCCCTATTGCTCTAAGAATAGAGACATGAAATTTATTTATTTTTAATTTTATTTATTTATTTGTAGAGAGAGGGGAAGGAAGAAAGAGAAGGAGAGAAACATCAATGTGTGGTCACCTCTCACATGCCCCCTACCGGGGATCCGAGGATCCGGCCTGCAACCCAGGCATATGCCCCAACTGGGAATCAAACCGGCGACCCCCTAGTTCACAAGGCAGCACTCAACCCACTGACCCACACCAGCCAGGGCAAGGCATGAAATTTATAATATGGCCCAGCACAATCTGATTCCTGATTACCTTAGCAGGTTCATCTCAAATCAATCTATCCAGTTATCTAAGCTGCTAACATTCCTTCCATATGCCATGCCTTCTGGTTAGTATTTCCTCCCTGTTCCTCCTTTCACTTGGACTCACACACTAGAAAACACCTGGCTGATTTTTATCCTTCAAGTCTCATTTAAATGTCCCTTCCTCCAGGAAGCCTTCCCTGACCAACCTAAGTTAGATCTTTTCATAGATTCCCATCCTAACAGTTATAATTTTATATGGTGCTTTAAACAATTTGCACTGCTGGGCACCATTTTCATGTAATTATGCTATTTCAGGAACAGAACAAAAGGGTTTTGGTGTTGCTTGTGTCTTCCATCTCCTCTCCATCCTCCTCTCTGTCCATGTTGCCATTCTTCAACCACTTGCTGATTGTAAACATATTAGCATTAAAAGGAAACAAACCAGAAGGCCAAGACTAAGAAGATAAATTAGTAGCTTGATGCCAATCAGTAATAACAGAGCTTTAAGTGTCCTGAAACCAAACTTATTCTTTGCAAGTTCTTCATTTTCTGAAAACATTTTATCTTATTTAGAGGACAAAAGGAAGACAAGTAAATGATCTACTAGATTTTTCAGAATTCTCTTGCCATTCTTACTAACTATTAAATGTATTTTTCATTTCTCTTTTCAACCTAAATAAAACTATATTTTTTTACTTCTCATCTTGTATCATCATCATTTAACGTCTTGTATTTGGATTATTTTAATAACAATTTACCTGACCCTCAGCTTCCACTCTTGCTCACACTCAGTTTGTTCTCTGCCTAGGAGCCAGAGTAATCCTTTAAAAAAGGGTAAATCAGATTATGTCACTCTTTTGTCCAAGTCCTCCAATAGCTATTCATTTCAATCTGAGTGAAGCAGAGAATTGGAAAATAAGAGACATTTGAATCTGAGTGAAACCAAATCATCACATAAAAGCACAGAATTCTCTTGCTTTTCTTAATAACTATTAAATGTATTTCTTCTTTCTCTTTTCAACCTAAATAAAACTATATTTTTTAACTTGCAAGTTTGTCATTTATAAACATGTTAAGAAATTCGATTGTTTTCAACTAGAAAACTTTAAAAGTGTAGACACAAATGTTCTGATTGTTCATGATGTATATATTTGTCAAGACTCATCAAACTGTATATTTAAAATTGGTGAATACTTTATGTAAGTTATACTTCAATAAAAACTATAGTAAGAAAATAATGTAAAAAGCCCTGAAAAATATTCTAAGATGTCAGATAGAGAGAAATTGTAAACCAACACTCTAAGAAAGTGACTTAAATATGATAAAAAAACATAATGTAGGTCATTAATCTTATGTCAGAAAGAAGTGGAAGCAGAAGTCTGAAAGATAAAGAGAAAATGGCTAACATTTTCAGGTGGAACTGGAGCGGCTGACAAGACTATTTGTTCTGAAGAAATAATGTTTCAGTTACTATAAAACCTCTAGTCCAAATATTATTTCAAGAGGCTCTTAAAAGCCCACTCCAAACTCCAATATTTGCTAACACCTAATTTAAAAAAATAAAGGTTAGAAAGAAAGGTCTTTGATAATCAAACATCTTTTTTACGTATTACAGCCTAGGAAATATGTTAATACTTTATTATTTACTTGATTTTCATAACAACTCTTTGAGCCAGATATTTTACTGTGCCATTTTATAAATAAGAAAGTTATTTGACTTG